CAATTCACTGCAATCTGCATGGTGTTAGAACTACAATTCACTAATTAAATTATCATCACAAAAGCTCATCAGTAATTACTCTTTTAAAGAATAAATTCTTGGCTGAGGCTTTTGTGAGTAACTTTTTATTATATTTTGAAATAATTTCAAACTTACAAAAAAGTTGTAAGAATAGTACAAGGAACTCCTAGAAACTTTACCCAGATTCACCAATTGTTTAGATTTTATCCTATTCTCACTCTCTCCCTCAATGTCTCTCTCTCCCTTTAAGTACACTGAAATACTGATTCCCTTTACCTCGTAACATTCAGTATGTATTTTTTAAGTACATGAACATTCTCTGACATAACCACAGCACAGTTAGTAAAATCAGGAAATTTAACATTGATATAATACAATTATCTAATCCTGTCATAATCAGATTTCATCAGTTAACCCAAAAATGTCCTCCCGTGGCACCAAGTCACCATCTCTTACTTGAAGGTAGAATTGCTTCCTGGTGAGAGGAAGGTCCTGTCTTTCTGGCTACCTGCTTCCACTCCTCAGACTTCCTGGTGAGCTGATGGTGTGGCTGGGACTGTAATAACCATCACTGAACAACATCTCTTTGAGTCAAAGGTGGATTTTCCCAGAGGGTGCTGGTGCAGGCTTTTCTGTTTGGGGTTGGCAAGCAAACAAGTGTCCATGGACAGACACTGTTCTGGCGGTGACCCTTTTCTATGGCCTTTCAGAATTTTTACCAGGGACGTAATGTAAGTGTGATTCATGAACTTAAATATAAAATGAATGAGTTAATATTAAATTTTCCTGAAACTTTTGGCTTAAAGAGAAAAAAAATTTTTTTTTCCCAGTCCAGGAGCCAGTCTGGATTCATGCATTACATTTAGTGTTATACCTTTTTAGGCTCCTTTAAATTGGAACAGTCCCTTAGCCTTTCTTTGTGTTTCACAACCGTGATATTTTTGAAGACTCCAGTTGACTTATTTTGAGAATGTCCCTCGATTTTAGCTTGCCTGGCTTTTGTCACGATTTAAGAATGCAAGTTCAGCATTTTGGCAAGTATCTCACAGAAGTGATGCTGTGTCCCTCTCAGGAAATTACATAATGTTGCCTTGTATTATGATTAAGGATGTTATTATCTTTGTTCACTTATTTAAGGTGGTATCCAACATGTTTCTCCATTGTAGAGTTACAATGTTTCCCTTTGTAAGTAATTGTCAGAGAGATTCTTTGAAACTCTTCAAATATCCCTTTCCTCATCAAACTTTCATCCATTTGTTTTGGCATCTGCTGATGATTTTATAAGTTATCATTCCTCTTAAAATTATTAGTAAGCAACTTATTGTAAAGAAGAGCTTTCCCGCTTTTTGCTGAATCTATTGCAAGGGTGAAGACCATTCTCAGAAATCAGACTGTGGACATTCCAGAAAACGTGGACATCATCACTCTGAAGGAACGCACAGTTATTATGCAGGGCCCCAGAGGCACCCTGCGGAGGGACTTCAACTACATCAATGTAGAACTCAGTCTCCTTGGAAAGAAAAAGAAGAGGCTCCGGGTTGACAAGTGGTGGGGAAATAGGAAGGAACTGGCTAGTGTTCGCACTATCTGTAGTCACATACAGCACATGACCGAGGGTGTCACATTGGGCTTCGTTACAAGATGAGGTCAGTGAACACTCACTTCCCCATCAACGTTGTTATTCAGGAGAGTGGTTCTCTTGCTGAAATTTGAAATTTCTTGGGTGAAAAATACATCCGCAGGGTTCAGATGAGGTCAGGTGTTGCTTGTTCAGTATCTCAAGCCAGAAAAATGAGTTAAATCTTGAAGGAAATGATATTGAACTTGTTATCTAATTCAGCTGTTTTGATTCAACAAGACACAACAGTTAAAAATAAGGATATCAGAAAATTTTTGGATGGTATCTGTTTCTGAAAAAGGAACAGTACAGCAGGCTGATGAACAGGATCTAAGTTGTCCAGCTACAGAAACACCAAGATGTCAAGTGATTCTCAGACTTATGTGTGATATTTTAAAGATGCAATAAGAGTCATGTATTGATCGGGTGGGGTGGGGGAGGTGAAGAAGAACAGCTTTCTCTTCTCCCCCACTTAGTTATTTATGCATATTTTTTATCAGCGTAAGGCTTCTTGGATTTTTATTTTATTCACTGGTTTATAATCCCATTGTTTATTTTGATGTTCTAGTTCCCCCAGATTTGGCTAGTAGTAGTCACCTCAAGCAGACTCCTTTGTCCTATTTACATGTTCCCATGATTCTTTGAGACCTTCATTACTTTTTGGCATAGCAAGATATTCCAGGGTCATCTTGGGCTTCTCCTGACCCAGCAGCAGAATCAGCCATTTCTCTGAGGAATCATGGTTCCTTTTAGTTGAGAGTGGTATTTAGAAATGATCCTCTGGGAACTAGCTGTGCTCATTGCTACAAGCTTGTCATTGCATTTAGTCTTGGTCAGCAGACAAAGCTAGGAAATATGTATCTCTGTGTGTATTTTTATATCCATCTACCTATATCTATATGAAAAATCAATACATACCAAACCTGTAATTACAATTCAAAACCAAGGGTACATTCTAATCTTCCCCCTTTACAAATATATAATCCTCTTCCCCAACAGTGAGAAACCTGCTTTCCATTATTCACTTTCCTTTTTACATTTCCTCATGCCTAACATACAAAGAAGGTTGTTTCTGAATTGCTACCCCATACCACTGCAACAACACAAACTACTTATTAGAGCTCAATATTGATTTACAGTTATTTTGGGGTAAAATCTATATGCATTAAATGCACAAATCTAATGGCTACAATTCAATGAATTTTGACAAATGCATACATCTTTGTTGCCCACACTTCTATGAAGATACAGATTTTTTTCAGTTATCCCAAAAAGCGCCTCCCTCAGTCAACAAACTCCCAAGACAGCCACTTTTCTGGTTTTATTTTTTACATAGATTAGTTTTCTTGGCTGAGTTTTTAACAAGCAATTTTTATATCTATAGAGTTTTTAAAAAGAAATTTAAAAATGTTTTAATTTCTTATAGATTATTGTTGACCTATAGCATATTATTTTTTTGGTAAATTAATGTATATAATACCTCCTTGAACCAAAATGAAATTCAGACTCTTTCCATGGCCTCTGCAGACCTCACCGAACTCCTCTTTTACCCATTCCCTCTGGTTCACTATACTTCTGCCACACTGTATACCTTTCAGGTCCTCAACCACTTTAAGTTCTTTTCCACCTCAGAGACTGTGCACTTGCTGTTCCCTTTGCTAGAACACATTTTCCTTAAACACATTCACCTGTCTGGCTTTTTCTCATCATTCAGATCTCAGCAAACCATCCCTACTGTAAGAGATCGTCCCTGAGTACTCTACCTACTGTTACGCACCACTTTTCCTGAGTCATTGTCTGTTACTCCCCCTTTTATTTTCTATAGAGCTCTTATCATTCTCATTTATCTATCTATCTATCTATCTATCTATCTATCTATCTATCTACCTATCTATCTATTTTGCCATTATTATTCCCTCAGCACCTCGAATAATGCCTGACAAATGTGTGTGTGTGTGTGTGTGTGTGTGTGTATGTGTGTAAGGAAGGGATTCAATACATAGTTGTTAGATGAATGAATGATATAACAATTTAGCTTGGTAATCTTTATAATATACCTTCCTTAGTCCCTGAGAATCTTGAAGGACAAAATATTTTCCTTACACAAATTATTAATGTATATAAGTCAACATTTTTTACTTTTCCTTTCTTTTATATTTTTTACTTTGCTTAGTCATCTAATGAACAATTGTACAATAATACTATGTTACTGTGATATGACTACACATACAAAGTATATATTCATTGTTTTTTTTAACAGTTACTCAGAAAAAACATTTCCACATTGAAATGACGGAAACATTAAACATTAACATTTTCACCATAAGTAATGCCTAATTAGAACCATAAAAAAATGCTTTCTCTTCTCAAAAATGGGCTTTAAACATGGCCAAAATTTGCTTCACCTGGGAGATTACTCAGAACGTTGCCTTTGCATGGAAATGAAACTGAGACTTTTTTTTTTCCTCCAGTGTAACATAAATAAGAAAGAATGTGGGCCTGCCAAGTGGTGCGTTGGTTAGGAGTTAGTTTGGGGTGCCAGCTCTGAGCAGCAGGACCGCAGTTCAGATCCCACATATGAGGGCCAGTGACGCTGCACCCTCTACAGCTAACATGGTGAACAACAGCTTGACCTGGAGCTGGGTTGCCATCAGTTGCTGGCGACGGCATAGGCTGTGGAGGGGCTGGCTGGGCAGCTGGTGTGAGTTTTTGTGAGCTGCCGTGAGCCGCCATGAGCAGCTGTCCAATGGCCGGTGAGCAACTGCCTCACCCAGGAAGAGCACAATGATAATACCAACATGGGCCAGTGAAGCGACGTCCTCCACAACTAGACTAAAGAACAAAAGGACAGCAACTTGTCTGTTCCCCTTCCCCAATTCCCCAATAAAATCTTAAAAAAAAAAAAAGAACGTGCTATTAGGGACAGGAGCTGGGACTCTGGGATATGCTCCCCTACTTTGTGACAGAACATAGCTGCTCACTCTCACAAGGGCAGCTAGAGACAAGCCTTCCAGTTGCCTTGTTTAATCTACTTGTTCTATAGCTTTGGGGTGAAGAGAGTGATAGCTTATAATTGGTTTATTTTTGCTCATCTACTTTTCACATATTTTTAATGATGACACCAAAATGTCTAAGTATTCATAGAAAAATATTTGAAGCAGTCTCTGAATTTTCATTTATTTGTTAACCTAAAAATTCCAGAAAAGACTTGGGTAACTATTCGATAGTTTTTGGGTGGAAACTCATTTTAAGAAATGTAATGGTTACAATTACGTAGTTGATTTTTTCCATAGGAATAGAAATATAGGGGCTTTCAGAAGAGGCAACATGTGTTTTGTTTGTTTGTGTGTTTGTTTCTAAGGAGCATAGCAGCCACTGATCATGAACCAACAGATGCCAGGAAATCCTTCCCGTGTTTTGATGAGCCCAACAAAAAGGCAACTTACACAATATCTATCATCCACCCCAAAGACTATAAGGCACTTTCAAATATGCCAGTGGAGGTGAGTATTTAAAAATTTTTTTGTTTATGCAAATAGTCTATTTAAAATATCAGGTAAATTACCCACTTTGCTAGGAGAGAATCCTACTGAATTCTAAAAGTAATTGTGTTCTAATAACTTATTTTAGTTTCAAAGTTTCAAAACACATTTTGGCAATCTCTTTTCTTTTTTTGAGTCCTAGATGTCTTTAACCCAAGAGATCACAGTCCAGTCAAAAAGCAATGCTGGGTTTTCTAAGCAAGAGAGAATACAGTAGATATACATCAGCTGGTCTCTACTTAAAGCAAAGAGTCTCCAGTCATGACAAATTAATGGCAAACTATTGGAATTACAGACTTAAAAATATTTAAGTGTCTCATCACTAATCTTGGTTTTTATTTGACTATAAACCCAGTTTTTAAGGTAGAGATACTGAAAAATATCATCACTTAAATATTGGAGTATAGACGCCAACTCTGGGAAACAGCATGCCCGTAGATTTTCTGATGAATGAAGCAAGCTCATTGACTGTTAAAAAAAAATAGGCTACAATAAGTTTTGTCTGTACAATTATTAATATAAGACTCTTTCCCCTGTTACTGCTCCTCATCCCCATTATGGGTAATAGATAATGTAGTTAACTAAAGTGTCCCTATCTCAAAGCTGAGGTTTATTATGCCTTAAACATTTGACATGTAAAAGGGTCAGGCTCATCCTTAGATATAATTCTTATTTACCTAGTATCAGAAGGATACCCTGCCAAAATTACATCTCCCATCTTCCTGATCTACAATCTGAAATATCATCACTGAAATGCATCCCTTTTAATTATAACTATTCCACAAAAAAACAAGAACAAAATAAAACACACAAAATCTTAAAAGGGTTAAAAAGTAAACTGCCATCAACCATCCATGCCTCAGTGTGAATTAGTTTATCAACTTGTTTTCTTCTAGTATCAGGGGCCTGAGTGACTTTTGATTGGAGAAGAAAGAGTTTAGGATAAACTTAAAAGTGTGACACACCAATCCAGAAGATTGGATCAGGGCAAAATGCCATTAGAATATCTTGGCATGGAAGGGGTAAAGTAAAGGGGGAAAGAGAAAGCATGCAAACTTTACTAACTTCTGCTTAAGACCTCCCTATATAACCTTTTCCTTTTGCAGAGTATACTCCTGAAAGTCTTGGAAAAGAGAATATTCTGGGTCATTAGGACATCAAAACTAAACCTGCAGGTTTCTATTGGAGAGTATTCTACTTTTCTAGAGCTCCAACACTCCCATACAAGCACAAGCATATTTGCCTTGTCAATGCTGCATTGATTCTAGTTTAGCTTTCCTCATTTAATCCCTTTTTAAAGCTTCTCATCATGGTGTGACTTACTGTGTAGCTTCAGGGCATATGGAAATGTTTAAACAATGGGTAGCAAGAGTTGGGCAAGTTTTTGCTGATGAAGTATTAGGACTGTGATTGGCAGTGAGAAAAGCAAAGCTGGCATGGACAGAAAACCAGACAGATGGGATCAGTAGTTGCATCAAGCAATGGAATCCTCTGTCTCTCCATGGCAACCAAGGCAGTGACTTTAGTGACCATACCTTGGGTCTTCGATGTAGACAGCCGGAGACGGAAAACAAAATCCAACATCCTGCTATGCCTGGTAGAGCTGTTACTCTCCTGCACATAGTCAAATCAGCAAATACCTACTTAGCTCTTCCTGAGTGCAAGGCATTGAGCACTAGCCTAGTCTTCATTAAGGGATCACAGTATCTCCTCAAGTATTATGATCAGGATTGTGTTTCATGTAGAAAGATAAATGAAGTCCTGTCCAATTTGTATCACATTCAAAATTGCATTTCTCCCTGAGAAACTTTTTACAGTGTATAGCTCAATCACTCTTTCATAGTACTAAAAATAAAATGAATTTTCCTTTAGTCTTTTCTATATCAGCATGTAGAGGTTAAAAAGATATTTTACCCCTAAGCTTTGACAAAAAACTTATGACTAAAAGCCAGGTTTGGAGCAATCATTTGTCTTGTACATGATTGATCTTTTGATAAATAAAAGATTATCTTTCATTTTTCAACAGAAAGAAGAATCAGTCGATGATAAATGGAATCGAACAACTTTCCAGAAGTCTGTCCCCATGAGCACTTACCTGGTGTGCTTTGCTGTGCATCAGTTTCACGCCGTAGAGAGAAAGTCAAACAGGGGAATACCTGTGAGTCACATTATATATTTTTAAAAATTTATCACCTATGCATTTGTGATGAATTTTCTACTGTTTTTGAATAATTTTTTTTTCCTACAACAGACTAGCAAAGACCATTAGTTACCAGGGTCTGTGAGCTTGATGGTACATGGAACAATATAGAAAAATCTAAGCTAAGAGGACATAGGTAAAAAGTAAATTAATACAACAGGTATAGAAATACATAGCTTCAAGTTATTGTAAGGTGAAAATGCACTATAAATTAAAAGTTAACTCCTAAGTACACCATCACAAATATATTAAAATATTGGGGCATGCCCAACTTAGTAAGATGGTTGAGTATATATGTTTGGGAGGAGTCCCAGACAGTCCAGAGAGGGAGGAGGAAACTAGAAGGGAGATCAGTATCCTTTGAGCAACTAAGCACTGAGAGATTTGTGGTGCCATTTTTATATGTTATTCAAAGTAAAGCAACTACAAAGTTTCAAAAGCATTTTTTATAAAGTGTAAGAAAATCTAAATACTAAGCTTATTTTTTATCAAGATGACTAATACAATAATTTTCTATTAAAAAGCCAAATACTTGTACCTAATCATTTTTCTCATTTTGGAGGCCCCAATTTTGCTTAGTTTGTTATTCTACCTCTGTGCTACATATTTTATAATGTATATATGGAGAAATCATCACCCCCATTTTAAAGATGAGGGAATTAAAATTGAATGTCTTTAAGTAATTTGTTTAAGATCGCCCAGTTGGCAAATGGTGGAGACTCAAATTCCAAATTCTTTCTAAATACTATACCCTACTAAGCCTTCTGAAATGTGATATTCTGAAAATATCTTTCCCTCTTTACCAATCACTGGAGGAAAGGGATAGATTCCTCTATTTCCTGTGAAATTAGCCCCCGGGGAAATTTACCTTAATGTTGGTATTGTAGGGGTTGATACTGAGATATCCTAAACCTAGATTTTTAGTATGCAGCCTATACTGTATCCAAATTATAGCAAAGGGAGGAGTGTCCATTTTTCAAAGGGACTTTGAAAGACCTTTTCAAATGGGTTCTATATCATGATGACTGGTCTGACTTTTGTCTTCACTTTATCACATATGTTGCTTTGATGTGACCTTCAGATGGGGTAAAAGGCACTACACTTGTACCATTGGCTTAGAGAGACTATTACTGTGTAGCTGCACTGGCAGGGTGAGTAATTAAAGCCTGTATCAGTTAGTTAGCTGAGCTCTAATGATGGATTTTACTACATAGAGGATTTGGAATGACATAATGGAAAATGTAGTTTGGCAAAAGATCCTGACGTATCCTTTAAGTGGTAAATATTTCTTAAATGGCTCTTCTATCAAAATTGAATGGGTAACATTCTATCTTAAATCAATGACGTTTTCCTCAATTGGGTGGGAAATGAAGATAATACTGTCATAATATATTACTTTCTGATTATCTATTTGATAAGAGAGCAACAGAAAGCCAGGCTCCCTTCAGATATTTCCCAGAGATTCTGAGTCAGGAGAATTCAGTGAAAGTGAGGTGCAGCTGAGCAATGTGTGCCCCTCCTATCGAAAACAAACAACCAGCATTTTCCCTTCTGCAAAAACCTGTAGGGCTGTTTTCCTTAAAATTTGAACAGAACCTTATGGGAGAACTTTAAGGCATTTAGTGTGAATGACGATTCACAGTATATTTCACCTCTTTGGCGTTTAGGATGTCCCCTGCCTGGATCTCTATCCACTTAACTCTAAATTGAAATCTATCAGCTAACACCCAAGCACAAATGTTCCCACTACAATTTGCTACTCCAGAGAGAATTACAAATAAAAAACAAACTAGTTAAATCTACTTAAATGTAAAATCAGAGGGAACCCACACCAGCCTCACAGTACTATATTCTTAGAGCTGAACAGACAAGCAGGCATACGAAGAAAACAAGCAACTTAAAAGAGAAAATCCAAGACACAGTGGGGGTTAATGGTGACAATTGAGAAAATAAAAGATATTTCCCAAAAAAAACATTAAAAAAATCGAACATTTACACCTACAACCTTTAATTATTACACTCAGTGGTTCAAGAAGATACGATCACCATAAAATAAAAACAGAAAGCTATGAGAACAATCAGAAATAGTAGTCAGAATTTAAAAACATGATTTCCAAAACACTGGCTTTGGTCCCCAGAAACCTGTTCCCAATTTTTCCAAAACCAGAGCCTAATAAACCCTTACTTCAGTTCCTGTCCACTGCTTTGTATTTTTATCAGCTCCGTGGAGATGCCTATATTGTTTAAAGCCCTGATATGTCTTGTAGGTTTTCAATTTTTAAAATTGCATCTGCTATTTCTGTATGTTAGGAATAGTGGGGGTTCATCAAACTTCAATTTATTAACATAATCATGACCCAAAGTCCCTATATTGCTTTGTCAGTTACAAAAAAAAAAAAATGAAGCTAGGTAGCTGTTGTTAATACAACATTTTTAGTAGAAACTTCATGAATCAAAAGACCATTCTTATGCACTGTTTCTGACAGTGTTATTCTATTCATGAATCACCTGCTATTCATAATCTCATTATACTGTGCAATCCAAGAATCTGTAATATCCTGATTAAACTCTCTTGGGTATGTTCACCCTTCTAGCAAGAACACAATGCAATACATAGATGATGAATTATAGAATTGTACACTTGAAACCTATATAGGGCTGGCTGAGTGGTTCAGTTGGTTAAGAGCTCGCTCAAGAGTGCGAGCTCTGAGCAACAGCGGTTCGATTCCTAGCCTGAGCTGAGCTGCCGCTGAGCTGCCAACAGGTGGCAGGATGGCGCAGCTAAAAAAAAAAAAGAAACCTATATAATTTTACTAACCAATGTTACCCCAATAAATTTAATTTAAAAAAATGGAATTTTTTTGAGGTGATGGAAATAAAACACAACAACAACAACAAAACAGTAATACTTTAAGAGCTATTGAAAACTGCTGTAAAGAAATATAAAATAGGGCCAGCCGAGTGGCGCGTTAGTTAAGAGCTGGCTTGGGATGCCAGAGGGCCTCAGTTCAGATCCCACATATGAGGGCCAATGACACTGCCCTCTACAGCTAAGATGCTGAACAACAGCTCAACCTGGAGCTGGGCTGCCGTGAGTTGCCAACGGTGTAGGCTGCAGCCCCTGCTGTAGTGGGTTGCCATGGGCTATCATGTGTAACCAGCAGCCAGTGTGAGTGGCCAGTAGCGGCAGTGAGTGGCCGTCCAGAAGCTGGCGACTGATCTGCCTCGCCCAGGAAGAGCGCAATGATGGTGCCAACTTGTGCCAGTGAGCAACGTCCTCCACAACTAGACTGAAGAACAAAAGGACAGCAACTTGTCTGTTCCCCTTCCCCCAATTCCCCAGCGCTGTTCCCATCCCCCAATTCCAATTAAAAAAAAAATCTTAAAAAAAATATAAAATAAAGAGGGCAGGAGAAAACTTGTAGACATGATGGATATATTTATTGGCATAGAATGTGGTGATGGTTTCACAGGTGTATACATGTATACATATCCCTAAACTTACAACGTTGTATACATCAAATATGTATAGCTTTCTGTATGTCAATCATACCTCAATAAAGGGGTTTTAAAAATAAATAAATAAACGCAGAATCAAGGCTTATGTTCTTCTTAATTGTTTACTTGGAGAGAACATAGCTGGTATTGGTAGTTGAACCAGTCATTGTATTAAAATGCCCTTGTTGTTCATGAGAAAAAATTATATTGGAGGACCCAGTTCTAAAAAATTGTTAAGAAAAAAGGTAACCAAGTTTGGAAGGTAACTCAGAAGACTTTTAACTCTGCATATCTCCTGTCTTGAATATTAGTTATATTATAGTTTTATTCAATCCTGAAAAAGTAGAGTAACTTGAAGAGTTACTCACAGTAATTTAGCAACAATTGAGGCCAGCCATTGATGAAAGGGTTTTTTACAACTCTGTTGGCAAGAAATCTATGCCTGAGGCCTTTGGGTTTTAAAGTAAATATAATCACTGAATTCTATCCCCGAAAAAACAAAAGCAAAAAACCATGAACTGTACAAGATGTAGAGATCATAGTACTTTCTGGTTAAGTGAAATAACCCTTAAGTTAATAAAATGTGCTTCTCTTGCTCTTGCAGGAGTCATATCATGGGAAAGAATAACATCCCCAATAGGCATGTTATTAACTAAGTTCAGCTCAAAATCTCCCTATGGGATATACTGCAATTCATTTTCAAATTGAGAACAATAGAGGTTACGAATATATGTTTAAGTTTTTAAAATTATAGGTTTAGAGGAGACCCAAGATGGCAGAGTAGATAAACACTGTGCCTGCTTGTTTCTGTGAACACATTAAAATTACAACTAATATAGAACAATCAACCTGGAGGACCATCTGAAGTCTGGCTGAACAGAAGTTTTGTAACTAATGATATAAAGGAGCCACATCGAGACTGGTCATAGGGGTAGAGACGCATAACCCGCTGGTCCCAAACCTCCCTGTAACGGATGAAAATTAGGAGGGATACCTTAGCCTTGGAGGTTCCCCCCAAAGGGGTGAAGGGCTCCAGCCCCACTCCAGGTTCCCCAGTCTGGCCAGGAAGTGGAGCCCTCACAATATCTGGTTGTGAAAAAAAGTGGGGATTCCAACCATCTGGGTGGGACAGAAGGCCATGAGAAACCCAGACATCCTCTTATAGAGCCCTCACACAGACTCACTTGCAGGCTCTCACCTTGAACTCCAGTGAAGGGTCGGTGACTCAGGGGGCGTCGGAGCCATACAGAATCAATAATATGGTAATAACTATGTATAGTGCCAGGTAGGTACTAAGCTAGTCAGGGGATCACTTCTTAAATTATGTAAATGTCTAATCATTGTGTTGTACCCTTGAAATTAATATAAAATAATATTGAATGTCAACTGTAATTGAAAAATTAAAAAGGGGGAGGAGGAGAAGGTGAATGGAAATAATATTATAATAACTATAGATGGTG